GATTTTATATCCTGCCAGTTTGCTGAATTCCTGCATGAGTGCTATCAATTTTGGGGTGGATCTTTTGGGTTTCCCATATAGAGTATCATGTCATCTGTGAAGAGTAAGAGTTTGACTTTTTCTTTGTCGATTCAGATGGCTCCTTATTTCTTTTCGTTGTCAATTGCTGAGGCTACGACTTCTAGGACTATGTTGAACAACAGTGGTCAGAGTGGATATCCTTGCTTTGTTCCTGAGCTTAGGGGAAAATCTCTCCGTTTTTGCACATTGAAAATGATATTCACTGTGGGATTTCCATATATGGCTTTTATGGTATTGAGGTATGTTCCCTGTATTCCTACACTGTGAGGAGTTTTCATCAAGAGAGGATGCTGTACCTTGTGAAATGCTTTTCTGCATCTATTGAGAGGATCGTATGGATCTTGTCCTTTATTTTATGAAGGTGGTGTATCACGTTGCTTGGTGTGTGGAAGTTGAACCACCCCTGTAGCCCAGGAATACCAACCACCTGGTCATGGTGTAAAATCTTTCTAATGTACTGCTGAATCCTATTCACTTGTATCTCAGCTGTCACACTGATGTCCTCCCAGTTTTTGCAATGTCCCCTGATGTTGACATTTTAGGATGTATTTCCCCCACACCAGGACATTCATCTGGGTCACCACAGGATCATCTCCTAGTAGGTCTCATGGTACCTGAGGGCCTCCTCATCCTTAGACTCTGCTTCGTATTGTTCCATGAATGTCCAATACTTCCAAAGAGATCCACAGACTTGGGCATTTTCCATTTCCTGGATGTGCTGAAGATGAAGGTTAGAGTGTTTTATTTGCCTTGTTGGTGGATTAGCTTAATCTGTAAATGTAGGTGAAGAGGTTCAGATGTAGGAGGCCACTGGGAGAGTATGTTGTCCAGAAGTTCTCAATATATATTTGAAAGCTTTGTTCATCCTGTGTTTTGGCTCACCTTTGTGTCATTTTTTGACAAGAGTTCAGATTATTTAGTTTTAACTAGAGAGAAACGGAAATCTCCTAACACATTGTATATATTGTACCTCATTTGGATATCCTATGGCTAACTTTTTGCTATGACACATAGCACCATAGTAAACAATCCTACATCTCTATTGCTTTTTGGTCCCCAAGTATTTCCAGCCTCAAATTAACACTGGGATTGCCATGCAGTAGGATAAACCCAACCAACCACCGTCTGGATAGGGTGAACTATATGGCAAATGAGGGATTCCATTTAAACTCCTACCAATGCAGAAGAGAACTCTTGTCATTCCATTTCCTGTCCACCACTTGCTATAGCTCTCTTTAAAATCTTGTCAGTTTGGGGCAGCTGGGAGGCTCAGTGGGTTAAAGCCTCTGCCTTTGGCTAGGGTCATGATCCCAGGGTCCTGGGATTGAGCCCTGAATCGGGCTCTCTGATCTGCAGGGAGCCTGCTTCCTCCTCTCTCTCTGCCTGCCTCTCTGTTCACTTGTGATCTCTGTCAAATAAATAAATAAAATATTTTTTAAAATCTTGTCAGTTTGATGCATGTATAAAGCAAGCCCGTTGTTCTTCGTGTTATCTTGATAACTTGGGATGTGTTCAGTGATTTTTGAGGCTGATTTACTGTCTGTGACTTGTTCTAAGCATTTGCACAGAACTTGGGAGAGCCAAACTTACATATATTTATTTGCAGGAGCTCTTTGTATACTCTGGATACCAATCCTTTGCTCATGAATGAATAAATCAACTGTTAGAGGCAGATATGTTTCTGCTGTGAAGACCCACTGTGCTCTGAAGGAGGTGAGTCAGTAGGGAGGGATGACAAGGGAGACATTGGTGGGGGATCCAGGAAACTCAGAAAGATTCTCAACTGCTTCATTTCCAGAACATTTGTTTGTATGTGGCCTGTCAGGATCATGTCTGAGACTGACAGATGGCTGCTGGAAAGCGGATTTCTGAGCGATCCTTCAATTCTCTATCTCCACAACAGATCTAGCAGAATCACCACTTTTATTTACCCCATACAGTGGAGGAAGAACACAATTCCATGAGTTCTCTTGGGATATAAAAGAAATTCCGGGGCACTTGTGCGGCTCAGCCAGTTAAGTGTCTGCCTTCAGCTGAGGTCATGATCCCAGGGTCCTTGGATGGAGTCCCACAACAGCTTCCTGCTCAGGAAGGAATCTGTTTTTCCGACTCCCTCTGTCCCTCCCCCAGCTTGATATCTCTCTCTCTCTCTAATAAATAATCTTTGAAAAAAAATAATAAAATTCCAAATTAAGTATATTCTATAATAAAGATAATATTTATTTAAATATATGTTCCTGGACATAATTTACTGAAGAAAACAATCACAATATGTCACATGAGCCTGTTTCTCAGTACATAGAAAAAAAATTCCTGAGGATCTAGAGCTTCCATAAATTTCTTTTTGGGGATACTGTCTGCAAGGACATGGTCCTCTTACAGAGAAGACTCTGATATTGCACAACCAAAGGACAAGAAGGAAAATGTTCTCTTTGGTGAAAACAACCAAAGGACAAGAAGGAAAATGTTATCTTTGTAGAGATTCCCCATTCACGTATTTAACACTTCAGTGCAGGATTTCCATCACTGAGCACCAGGAGAAAACGGCATAGAATATGCTAGTGCAAAGTGCTGAACAGGAGAGGGATGAAATGCAAGAAGGGACATGGGAGGTTCCCTGTCCTGCACCAGGTGGCTGGACTGAGGTTCTGGATTTGTAAATTTGGAAGTGCTGCCGGTCTAATGATGAACAGCAGCTCATGCAAAGGCAGCTGGCCCACAGGCAGAGTCGTTGAGCTGGTCCCCACACTGAGGGGCTTCTTGGTGGACTTGGCAGCCTAAGAATGGAACAGGTGTTTATCTCCATGGTTGAGGAAATCCTGGGTCCCCTGTCCTGGGGCTTCCCTTCACCAGCACTTCCCACCCCAGAGCCCAGCCCTCACCCAGGGGCATGCATTTCCTCCAGCCATGACCCCAGCCCTGGGCCCAGCCACCATTACAAACCTCCACCCTCCTGAACCAAATCACGGAGTCAGCCCCAGGCCCTATTACCAATGGTCTGGGCTCAGGACCAAAATGAGTAAGAAACCAGTGTGCTCACGTGACTCGTGTTCCCATGCTCCCTCTCATGGCAGATCCCAGGACCTGCTGGGGGATGTGACAGAAGACAGGGACCTGCACTTGACACCTCTAACCTTGGGGAACCCTGTGGAAAAAGTCCTTCTTTTCCCTTCCCTTCCAGCCTCCTGCAAGCAGCACACAGAGCTCTTAGTCTGATGATCCTTCCACCATCCCACCCATTCCTGGTCTGGCTCAGCTGGGAGCTCACAGGGGAGCTCAGTTAGCCCATCCCCCAGGTCAGCTCTGCTCAAAGCAGGGGCTGTTCAGTGGCTCAGGATCTGAGGTCTGCAGGAAGCTGGCTGCCAGCTGGCACCAGCCTCAGCCAGGGTTCCCATTGTTGCACAGAGAACTAGCCTCCTCCTAGTCCCGTCATGCACGGTCTCTACTGGGCATTTGCTGCCTCAAATGTGAAGACCCAAGCCATGACTGGGGGAACACGGCAGTACTGTCCAGCCCTTTGAGTTGGTCTGTAGAGGCCTTCCCACTCCCTCTACCTGGGATGAGACCCTGGCCCCTCTCCTTGTAACTGCCCAGATGGAGTCCCCCTCTCCTTGAGATATCCCATGGAGCTGACATGCTGCTCTCTCTCAAAGGGGAGTATGGCCCATGCTGTGTGTCCCCACTGTCCCCACACCACCCACCCTGGGCCCAAATTTACTCTCTCCAATGGAGAACCTGGTCAGAGCCAGGAATGACTTCCCTCAACCCCTTTAGCACCAATAGTCCTTAAGCAGTGGTCTGGGCCCCTCTCCTTTCCCAGTGGCCTTATCAGTGAGTGAGGCCATATCAGAGCTCAGCACTGAGCTAGTCCAAGCTGTTCTCCACACATGATATGAGATCTCATTCATCTAGTCCCACTGCCCTCTGAGAAGCTTCAGGGAGTGGACAGGGGTGAGCCTGGGAATTTACCGTTCCCTGTGCTCACACCAGGCCATCTGCCCCTCCCTTCCCTCTCAATCTGCTCTCACTACCTGTGGATCTAATGGTCTCTGACAAGGATGTCCATTATGACTGCACAGCTGAGGAGCAGGGGGAAGATCCATGTACAGGGTCCGATGGGCGTGGCCTTGCCTGGAGCTGTACCTTGTTGCGTGGCTGGTGGCACTGAAATGAAAATGCAAGGATAAGAGCCTCAGCCGGGACCCCAAACTGGGGGAAGCTTCCTCAGCTCCTGTAGTTGCATCCTACCAATCAGACGGTGTCTATCACTGTCCTTGTGGCAGATGCTGTAACCAGTCCTGATGTTGGGAAGGGAGGAGGGGATGCGCCCTTTCCCTTAGGGGCTCCTCCAGCCAAAAGGGGAAGCAGAGTTTGCAATATAAGCAATCGCTCCTACTGTGACAGACAGGAGGTGATGCAGGATAAGGATGGTGACAGTAACTACCTCTCAGGAGCTGACAGTCCAAGTGGCACTGAAGGATTTCTGGCAATACACCAGGTGAAACGAAAAAGACAGTAATTCTCAGATAAAGGAACATAAGACCATCTCTGGAAACAGGCTGATGCTCCCCTGTTTGGGGCCAGCAAGAAATCCAAGAAATGCCCAAACACAAAGGTGTATGCATCGAGGAAGTGATTCCAGGAGGTGAGATGGGAAAGGAAGAATTCTAGAACATTCCTGTAGCCATTATTCTGCCAAGAAGAATTTCCCATGGATGGATCAATTTCTCTCTCTCTACACACACACACACACACACACACACCGCCCACACTGTGGTGTAGGTTGAGGTCATTTCAAGAGAACCAGCACTCCATCCAGTCTTCTGAATTACCCTTGGTCTCCTGCATTTCATCCCAGTGCTCCCATACTTGCTGGAGCCAGCTCTTACAGTCTCCGTTTGCTGTCCCCATGAGGAGCTTGGTCAGCTCTTCATCGTCCAACGTGCCAACGAACCGTTGGCCTCCAGGTGGAACCACTGTCCACTTTCTGTTTTCTGAGTCAAAGAGGTGGGTTGACTGCCCATTGAAGGCAAACCACCAAGATCCTCTGGTGTGTCCGTTGGCCCCCCGCTCACACATCAGGCTGCCCTGCATGGTGAGAAAATCTGCCCCCGCCCGCACCAGGGGAAGCAGGTCAGCCTCTGGTCTTGACCAAACCTTTGCCCCAACCGCTGCACACTCCTCAGCTCCCCTTCGGCCCTCCTGGTCCTGCTCTGGCCTCCTTGTCTGTCCCAGCTGCTGGGCCACGTGTTTGGGACCCTTTTAAAATTTTACATGAAAACAATATCTCCCCAGCCCTGCCAAAGTGTTCTCCTTCTGCCCTGGGCCTTCAGACTCACCGCTCTCAGTGAAAATCTCTGCTTTAATGTCCAGCAGCTTTTTTCTGAGCTCTTCCCCCAGGTCTTCCAGAGGTTCCCTCTGTGTCCCCCAGAATGCTGTGTCTTTCAGCTTCATCCCCCAAGGACCAATGGGTTTGACTTGCTCGCTCCCATGCCAGTAAGAAGAAAACTCGTTTCCATTGACCTGACCTTGAATCTGAAACCTCAGTTGTCCAGGCCTGGTCTTAGATGTGATGGAGAAATTGTAGGAAAGCGAGAGAGCATCTGTGAAGGGAAGACAGAGGTGGAGGTTGGGGCTGGAAGAGAAAGAGCAGCAGGCTCCCCTCTGCCATCCAGGTGACAGCAGTGGCATCCCTGGAGGGCTGACCTGGCAGAGTAAGGACTGTCCTGCAGTATGGCTCCCCGTAGCCTTGGAGGCTGGCGCTCTTCCCTTGTTGGGATTGGATCGGGGTGTCTCTGCTTGGCAGGAAGTCACATAGCCCCGGATAGGAACCTGCACCCACCAGGCTGATACCCAGCATCACTCGGTCTCTACCCACTGCAGGCACAGGCCAGGCTGGCTATGGCAAGAAGAGGTCTACATGTCAGAGGACTGTCAGGAGGTAGGCCAGTGTCCTGTATGAAGATGAGGGGCACGGAGTGGGCTGTTCCTGAGGAGTTGGGACCCGGTGGGGACAGGGTGAGGATAGAATCCAAAGTCAGGAGAGGGAGAGTTCCGGATCATGGGTCACAGGCCTCAGCAGGGCCCTGGAGATGCTGATAACCTGCCCTTAGGATGGGTCTTGGAAGCCTGGAAAGGGTGGTCCACACGTCACAGACTAGAGCAGCAGGCATTGCCAAGGCAGATAGAAGGCTCAGAGAAGTGCATATGACAGAACAGATAGAGCAAGAAATGCCAAACACAAAACTAAAAACATGTCCTGCTGCTATGCTCATGGACATGTCTGGAGGACTCTTTACAAATAAAATAAATAAATACAAAAGTGTCTTATCCTAGGTGCAAGGACAGAGATGAGTACCAACCTCAAAGCTCCTCTCAGGGTGCAAGGATGTGATTAACCCTATTCGATTTTCATTGAAATGCCAGCCTGGTGCAAAGATTTT